CATACATTCTATTATATTGTCTGATATATCATTCCTCCTGTTTGAATGTTGCCCTCTGTTGGTAACGTGAAGGTAATCAAGAAGAACAATTGTTACCTTCGCTAGTTCGAGTCGGTGTTGTTGCTCTGATACGTAGCACTCGGGGGGATGAACGCTTGATGTTTAGTTGTTGATTATTATTTTCGTTGCTGAATTTTTAAGTTGTTTACATGAAGTAATAGTTGTCTTGAAGATGTTTTAGTTGAATAAAAGATGTTAAGTGAATTGAAATTGAGTATGTAGATTCCGCTGCTTATCAATAAAAAGTTGTTTGATTTTAAAGAATAAATCAGGTTATTATCGGATCATCTGAATTAAGTGTTACGTATCTGTTTTATATGTGATTAAATGAAGTTTGATTTTAAGTTGAAAATATAGTATCCTATTTATGTTGAACTCCGATTTTATTATTATCCGTCAGATAGAAATGAGATGTTACACAATGCGTTATAAATGCCTTGAGGCTGTTTCAAAATAATATAATGAATTTTGCAGAAAACAAGGGATAAAATTGCATGTGACTACTGAGTTGCTATTGAGATTTTGGGGAAGGGCTGATATCAAAACAACTTACTTGATTGGTAGAGAATTTCTTTAGTGAAAGAATTGTAAAAACCAAGTGATAAAACTTTTAGAAAGTATAACGGAAAAAACTCAGTTTGAGGTAGAGTTTCCTAATATGGATACTAGTAGTAGTGTGGGAACAATTACAGAGATCTCTGATTATCACTTGAATCATGATTAGGTAAGGAGGGGGATTATAGCATCTCAAAGGAACATTTATTCTAGCCTTAAGTGTTATGCTTTAAATGTGGCTGAAGGGTTGCAAAATACAAAAACAGTGTGTAAGTTCAGAATGCGTCTAAGGGGGGGGGGGGGGGGGGGTGAATTAGGACTTTAAAAAATTTATTCGATTTTAGAATACTTCTTTCTTTTCTGGTTTATGATTTGTGATCAAAGCGGTAAATGCAGAAAAGTAAATAACACAAAGATGTATCCTGATTCCCCTCACAGTCCGAGAGTACTCCAGTCCCTTTTCAATATGAAAGAGATTTTATTATTGTTAGATTTCTAGACAAGACAACCTAGTCTTTTTATATAAGACTCTAACCAATAAAACCATCAAGAATAATCCTCTTGAATCGACCTAGTTGAAATGAGAACAAACTTCTCACTTTCAACCTTTTGCTTCCAACTATCCAGAACAACAAGGAATATAAAACCAAGTAATCTTAATTTCAATAATCCTGGAAAATAAGATATGAATATAACAAGAGTTTATAAGAATATGGAATTGTAGAACAATTATCACTTTGAGTGATGTATTAATATACTTGATCTTCTCTTCCAAACAAGTAACTTATAATGATAGAATATAGTGCTCAAGTGTTTATGAGAATAATATGAATTTTCTGGATTGTTATAAACATACATGCAGAAAAATTCTTTATGAAATATCAAGAACAAAACACTTGTTTGAAATGTTGAGTGAATATAATGTTGTTAAATTGCAATGGAAAAGACAAAATTCAAATATGAAAATATAGAGTTTATATAGTTTCTTAACACCCTTTAGAAAGTGTGTAAATTATTGAAACAATGTAAATTTGAAAAGGTGTAAGATGGAAAACATGCAGAAATTAAAACAGTAATATTTGTCATGTTCAACTCAAGAAATCGATTTACCAATATGGGTAATTGATTTCCATCAAGTGTTGCGCCTAAAAATTTGAAAAAATGTTCAGGAAATTGATTTACCAAAATGGAGAATCGATTTCCATGTTAAAAAATAGTTTTCTGAAAATTAAAATACTGCTTCAGATCCGTAAAAATTAGGGCGGTTTTTAGTGTTGTTGCGACAGGTAAAACTGCCATAATTTACCAAAAACAGAATGCACTATAAATAAAAAATAGTTTATGCATACATATAGACCATGAATTATTTTGAGAAGTTATTTATCAATATATATTGTATGCTTGTACTTCTAATGCTCAAGCTCCTTGCTAATCTTCAAAGTTGAATTATTGATAAATTTGTTGCTAGCTTTCATAGTGATGAATCTTTCACTTGAGTCTTTTCCATTCTTTTTGTCAAGATCATTTGAGTTGCACTTTGTACTTTATCTTCATCAAAACATATTGGATGAAGAGTCTTGACTTCATACATTGACCTTCGGGGATGCGTTCGAAAGCAGGTGGAGTCAACGATGGTTGTAAAATCATGCTTGTGAGCTTGTTAAATTATCTAGACAAAAAAGAGTAATTAGAATCAAGTGGATGCAAGTAGCGTTATTCAATGGTGACTTGAATTTGATCAATGTTATTTATTAGAGTTTCAAAATGACAGAGAGCATCAAGGTGGTTGTGGTTAAATTGACATCACCACGATTTCAAGTCAAGATGGAGATTGTTGAAATATGCCTTAAAATCTTAAGTGATGAAGAGAAGGAAAACATGTTTTGATATTGCCAAAAATCCGAAAGTCGAAAAGAAGAAAGAATATCCTCCGATTTAGATGGTTCGTAGATTTCAGGTTTGACCTGTTTGATTTGCGGATCCGTTATATAATGTTAGAATATTGAATATATATATATATATATATATATATATATATATATATATATATATATATATATATATATATATATATATATATATATATATATATATATATATATATATATATATATATATATATATATATTAATTTAGAAATAATTTAAATTAATATAAAATATATTATAAAGTATTTATAATATTTTATTCCAATAATTAATGAATTGTATTTTGGACTTTGTACGTTGTGTTTTAGTAATTATAAATATGTATTTGTTCGTTACTTTATAGTGTGATGATCTTAGAGTTTACAATAAATGAGTAAAATAAATGGTTTAAGGTCTTCTCAAGAGAAACCTTAGAAAGACAAGTGTTTTGCAAAACCTTATCTAATGGGATTGAAAAACATTTGTTTACTCATCAGATTTGTGTGCTTGCATTTTTCAGAGTTATAGATGTTGGAAAACACTTAGGTAAAAAATATGATATGTTCTTGAGTGTCTTCATTGTTGTTTTTGAAAACACTAAAGATGAAAGCTATTTCTTGTAACTCATTTTTAATCTGTTGTAACATTTTTTTTACTATAGTGATTTAGAGATCGACTCGCTCTGCATAGTAGATCTTTTTGATTGAACTTGACAAATAAATTTATAGTCTTTTCTCACTTTATTCTATTATATTTTTTATTTCTTTATTATTATTATTATCGAAAACCATTTATTTTAATTACCCCTTTTCTTTCTCTCACATGTTAAAATATTAATTGAAATTAAATTTTGTCATTATCACAATAATAGCTCTCTTTAACTCGAAAAACTTGAATTTCACGTTATCAAAACAAAACAAAAAAACACTGCGCGTGAAAGATATGCGCGTGGTAAACATAGCAGTGAGGTTCGGCTGATGGTTCACCTCCCCAGTGATGAAAACCAAGAACCAAAGCTTAGAGAACTGTGTCCACGTCTGGCCCACTCAAACGAAAACAACACATATACAGACAAAGAGAGAGAAAATAGTTCATGACTTGTCAATGAATCTTAATACTAAACTTGGTGCTGGTTGTTATTTCTCTTTGTACTACACCTAAAAAAAAGATGATTCTAGAATGTGAAAAAGAGTACTCTTAAGTAAAAGCTTCATTGACAAAATAGTGAGATAGGAGTAAATATTAAGTGGGTTTTGTTTTTTTGGGTTTCAATAAAGGGGACATGCTCAATTTCAACCCAACATAAACACTTGAAACTTTACTTGTCTTTCTTCCTCTTCATAGTCATACTTATCTTTGCTAGATCCCAAAGGTAAACAACCACTCCTCTCTCTTTCTCTCTCTCTTTCTTTCTTATCCTCTTCTTCACTACTACCTACCTTTTTTTTATCTTTTATTTATTTTTTTATTCTTTACTTTATATATTTTTTAATTTGATTTGTGATTTATTTTATATTATGTATGTGGATTGTGGGATCCAAGTGTAGAAGAGGTTAAATTTTGGGATTTTCCTTTTGCATGTGGAGTTTGAGATTAGTTGATGTTGTTAGTTTAGGTCACTTTGTTTTTTCTCCCTCTTTTTTGTATGGGTTTTTTCAGGAATTTTTTTCTTGTTTTTTTGAAAGATCTAAGTAGAACTGTGAACTGAAATTTCAAGGTTGAGATTTAAGGTTGATGAGCTTTGTAGTTTGGACTTAGTTTGGAAGAAAGTGTTTGTTAGGTTTTTGTGAGGATGTGTTGAAGATTTTGAGAATTGTAGGATATATTGTTTGAATGTGGCTTGTTATAGTTTGATGGAAATTTGATTTAAGGATTAAAATGTATTTGAAATTTGAATGGGTTGATATGATATTATGGGATTTTTTTTGGACCAACTTGATTAAGCTAACTCAAAATTAGGGCTTATTTTTATATTTCAATGTTGAGAAAGGGGATGAAGTTTACACAACTGTTCTGTTTTCTGAAATTTAGTATGAGAGCACCTAAACTGATTTTCATTATTGTTATAATTTCAATTTTTGGTATATTTGGTTAAGGGAAATTTTGATTTTTTATTCTAAAAAGTTATGGGTAGTTGAATACCTGAATTATGCTCTCCGTGTTCAAATTTGTGGTTAGTGAAGTTACATTTAGGAGTGTATGTAACAGGTCGGTTTAGTTCGGTTTTGGGGAGAAAACTGGAAATTTTTGACTTGGTGTTTATAGTATATGACATTGTCATGTTTATTGACTCATAATAGAATCAAATCTACCTACGAGAGAAAGGGCTTTTGATCTTTTCGTCTTATATATCATGCTCTTAAGCTGTATGTGATCTTCTGTGCCTCACTTCACTTCACGTGTCGCCTGTCTAATATGAAACCATTCTCTCAGGTCAAGTTCTAAATTTTACATAATGACAGTGTTGTTGAAGGTTACATGAAGCCTTTTCTGTTTTTGAATCCTCCTGATACCGAGTTCTCCTCACAAGTTGATACTAATCACTCAATGGTATGTGAAACTTCTGTATCTTTTTATTTGTTGCATGTGCTCTTAGTGATGACTAGTTATTGTTATCCGTTTTCAGGCTCATGCTGCTTATCCTTACGTCGATCCAATTTTTGCTGGTCCATTAGTTGCTTATGCCCCGCAGGCTACTGTAAGTGTTTTCTGTAGTAGTATAGCTCCAGCACTTATGTTCGCAAGTGTGCCCGGTGTCCGACACCGAAACATTATATTTAATTTATTCATTTTCTTAAATTACTATAGGGCCGATGAGTCAGTATATGTATTTATTAGTCTTTTATGATGCTTGATTTTATCGAATTGAAATATTTTTTACATTTTAATTCGTGTCATTGTTTTTTAATGTTTTAGAACCAACCCCAAATGTTACCTCAGATGATGGGATTAGCATCCAATCGAGTTGCGTTACCACCTGATCTTGCACAAGATGGCCCCATTTATGTCAATGCAAAACAATACCATGGTATACTGAGAAGACGACAGTCACGAGCAAAGCTTGAGGCTCAGAACAAACTCATCAAAAGTCGTAAAGTATGTTTCTGTAAGATGTTGATGCTTTGAACTCTCTCATTTTATCGTTCACGAAATGATGATAGTGTATATTAAGTAGCAAAAGTTTTCATGCGTGGAGAAGAACATTACTCATAGTTTACTTCTCATTTAACTTACTGCAGCCATATCTTCATGAATCTCGGCACAAGCATGCTTTGAAAAGGATTAGAGGATCCGGTGGGCGATTTCTCAGCACCAAACAGCTTTCACAGTCTGGCAAAGAATTTGTCTCTGGTTCAAATTCTGGCGCTGGCTCTACCCACAAATATCAAAAGGAAGATCACACAGAGATGGGAAGTCATCATTCCTCGAAAACTGGAAATAACGAATCTTCCATCACAACCTGTTCCGACCGCACATGTTTTTCCGGTAACCATTTCAATTTTAGGCAGCCGGAGCACATGTTTCTCGGGAATTCTCCAAACATGGGTGGAGGAGCACCACAATGCAGTGGAGGACTCACGTTTGGGGGAACAAAACAACGCGCTTCGGTTCGATGAGAGTTTCATCGGACGGCAAATCATCCTTGGCTTAATCACTTCTGGTTTCTGTGTTTTCATGGTTAATGGTCGCTTTATTTTACGTTTTCATGTGTTTTTGTGAACTTGTCTTTTTTGAGCCTTTTTTATTGCTTTCACATACTTTTTGGAGTTGATATTTGCTTTCACTTGTCTTTTGGACTGGATTGGAATAGTTTCTGCATGAAACTTTCTTGGTTTGTGATCAGTATATAGTTTGATTAGTATTTGCTTGGTTTGAAATATTTGATGTTCAACTCTGGATTAAAGAAAGTTGTTTACATGTTATGGCGAATACATATTCTACTCTAGCCTTCTTTTTTTTTTTAATTGTTTCCATCATTGGTCCGGCTATGAGTTCTTGGTGTTGTCTTTTGGGATAATCCAACATGACAACTTTCCAATCCACAAATCTGTATCACTTTTTTTGCTGTTATTTTGGTTTATAGTGGTGGATGGAATGCACACTTGCAACATTTGTTTTAACTCTTGAATGTTCAAGATAATGGTAGTAGACTTTGGATAAATATGAGGAAGTGTACTTTTTGGTAGTAGACAAGTAGAATAATTGGACTATATAATTTTGGAACAGGGTGTAGTGGTGGATCTAGCAAATATTAGTAGTATTATAGAGTGGTCAATCCTTCACATTGTCATTGGAGTGAGTAGGCATTATAGAGTGGTCAATCCTTCATTGGGGTGAATGTTTTTTTTTTTTTTGGATTTAACGGGTGTTATTGAATTTTTTTAAATTCTTTTAAAGAAGATTTGCGAGTCTAGCATAAAGTCAAGATTTTTGAAGAAAAAATGGATAAGTTCAACAACTATGGGAAAATCAATAGAGACGATAATTTGTAAATTGGAACCTGAGATTTTGAGAGGACTCAAACAAATCTTTAATATTAGGTCACACAATTTTGAAGAGTGAATCAACTCTTACGTATTGAGAATAGTTCAACAAAGTAATATTCACGTGGCCTATTTCTAAAGTGACATTTGTTTAGTTTCTCTTTATAAATAATAAGAGTTATGAACAAATGGTCGGATACTTAAGTTTTCACGTTGATAAATGTTAGTAATTTTATACGATTTTTAATATATAATTAAGAAGAATATTGTTTATACATAGATTCATTCTCCGGACCATGAGAAATAAAAAGGTAAGACGTGGATAGGAGGTTAAGGAAGATAAATAAATGCTTAATCAAGTAATACTTCAGTTTAAGATTATCATGTCTGAGTCGGGTTGTATAGCCGAAGACATATGTGGTTGGCCATCGAGAAATATGAAGAGGCACCAACCAGACTTATTCCTGAATTCAGAGGTTACATAGAGACCGACCTTGATGAGGTCGTTATAAAGTGATCGGCCCATTAAGGGTGTAACCGATCATCAATACGTGACGACGCGCGTTATGATAACAACCATCATTGGCAATGACAGACGTTTTTTGCCTTAATGGCAACTCCGTTACGTATGATGAAGAGTCACAACAGTTACATGCAGTGACCAATGAGGTCCAGATACTTCTATATATAAGACTCCCGATTTAGGGGTAAGCAAGACACATCACTTGGAGCTTACGTATACTTGTGTGACACTCTGAATTCCTTAATATCATAAACAATTCACTCCTACTTGCTTGAGGCTCTCCCCGATATCCTTCAACTAGCGGGGAAGTCACATATTTAGTGTTTAGCAAGAACATTTGGCGTCCACCGCGGGGCCTGGTAAAAATTTTCCACGCCGCATTATCCAAACACCTTTGAGAAATGTTTTCTGATGAAGATCCCCCTTCATGCATGGCGTAGTTATTGGCCATCATTGAGGATCTTCGCCAGCAGAACGATACGGCGCAGGACAACGTCCAGGTTCTGCATATGAGGAGCCAGGACGATGGCGACCAGGGGCTTGAGCTTTTGGAGCCTCTGCCATTATTCCAGGCTATTTGTGACGATCAGGTTCCAAAGAATTTCAAACCTCTGACATTTACAACATACAATGACAAATCTGATCCCCATGAGCACATCATTGTTGTTAATAATATGATGGCAATAATCGTGGCTCATTCACTGAAGTGCAAGCTTATGGTCGGCACCTTCAAGGAATCGGATCTGAGGTGGTACACGAGCCTTCCCAGACACTCTGTTATCAGTTACAGGACTTCACCAAGAAGATGGTTCAGCAGTTCTCGACAAGCTGACAACGAAAGGTGTCGACAACAACATTGTTTAATATTCGTCAGCTCCAGTCAAAATCCCTGAGGAATTACATGGCCTGGTTCAATGAGGAAACCATAAATATCTCTCATCCTAATCAGGAGATATTTGTGGCAGCTTTCCAGCACGGTCTTCGGGCTGGCCAATTTAATGAGTCACTGGCCCAGAAATCGGCTGCCAATATGGACGAGATAATCACTGGGCCGAGTTCTATGTAAAAGGATAAGAGAGTAACATGGAAAATATAACTAGAGACGCTAGAAGAAAAGGAAGGGCCCGAGCAGAAGAAGGAGCATACCAGGTCCCGTGATCGACCACCACCTAGGGAGCGGCCTCCTCGCCGGCCATCCCGACGACCTTTGGTTTCAGACGAAGACCTCACTCCTCTAAATGCCAGAAGAGAGAACATATGGAGATATGTAAATCACCTCAACTTGTTGCTTAGAACTTGGCGTCCTCATAAAGTAAACACAATCTTGGGGGATGACGCTGAGGCTTGGTGTGCGTATCACCGGATCTGGGGACACCATACTGAGGACTGTCATCAGCTGAAAAAGGAAATCGAGAAACTGATCCAAAGGGGCAAGTTGTTATCTTATGTATAAGATAATGTCGAGCGTGTCAGAAAACAAAGCCTTCCCAGGAGGGGTGATAACTCGGAATGCCCTTCCAAGAAGAAAGGAAAGGCAACAAATGAAGTCTGAGAAGCACGACTAATCCGACACACATCTATGGAGGATTTGTTGGAGGGGGCTCCACCAGCTCAGCACGAAAGAGGTATGCCCTAAATGTAATGCACATGGCTCAGGTGGAATGGACAGATAAAAGAAGAGATCCTGGGGCTGTCACTTTCTCCCGAGAGGACGCAGAAGGAATCCTGCCACACGAAAACGACCCCATGGTCATTAAGGTTCAGATCAGGGATTTGAGTGTTAAGTGGGTGCTAGTCGACCCTAGAGGCTCAGTCGACATTGTAACATCCCTTTCTAACCCCAAGAAAATATAGCATAAAACAAATTAAGATAGCATGCATAACATTCAAAGGGTGTCACACGTCGTTTTCCAAAACATAAAAAACTAGCAAAACAGCCATCAACATACACTTGGTCATAATACATAACACATATTCAACTTCATATTTCCACAACTATGCATATCACAATGAAATTTTTCTTTACTCAACTATTATCAATGATTATATCTCATACTATAATCATGTATCAACATACTATCAATTCATAACATAAAAGTCATATGAATCCAAAATATTGGGCACTAAGGCCACTCAACATATTATCTCAAAATACAAACTAAATAAGAGAATATAACAATATCTCTTTATAACAAACATGAGCTCAAATACCCCCCGTGTTACAAGACTAGAGCATTGACTCACTACCTAGGAAAAACGAATAAACCAAGCTAAGCTCATCGACTATCCTCGTGGGAAGCACCACTATCTTTGGTACCTGAGCGATATCGTATAAAACATCATTCCAACACAAGGGTGAGAATTCACATCAATATAAAATATATAAAAATAAGCAATGTGTGCAAGATTCATCAAAATAATTCATCACACTTCATGTAATCTTCTATACAATATGGCTTGACGATTCCAAGTACCAAAGTAATCCAATACAAGTATTACAAGTATTATAATTCATACAATTATAACACATAGCACAATTACCACCAATGTAACCTCAATGTAATAATTAAACCAATTATCACATATATTACGCATCAAATCAAAACATCACATAACAATAAATGTGACTTCGATGCAACTCAATGCGACTCATGCATATGGTACCATCGTGAACATCAAAATCACCTTGCTCTCGATTCTATATCTAGAATCAAAGTCACGCTTCCAATTTGGACAAGATCAAAGCCCATCATCATGAACATATAGTCCATCACTTCTATTTCTACACAAGGATCAAAGCAACCAACTGGAGTTCAATCTCCCCATGTATGCATGTGCAAACATAACCAAATATATGCAAATTAAGATTATCACCAAACCTTAATCATACCGCATATCACAATAATCCATCAAAATTAATTATCCCACTATTGAAAAAAACATACCTTTATCACGTTGTCATTACCAACAATGCAATTATTTAGCATTCACCAATCACACAAATCATGAATAACATTTAGCAATACATGTTATTCATATTTCATCAATTCATGACATACATATACACATGTTCATGTCACTTTACACAATCACATAATTATCCAATCATACAATGCCAACAAACATATTTCTATCTTAAATTTTATTATGTTAGCTTCTTAACGCTTCAAACGACGCCTAAAACAGAGTTACGGTTCAAAAGTTACGGCCGTTACAAAAATATGTCAAAAATATTGAATGCCACTCGAGTATGCTCAGGTAGACCCATGAGTCGACTCATACTGAGTATGTTGGTCACCTATGCGTCGAATCATGGCTTTTTATGTCGATGCATCAATGTTTAACAGAGAAACCCTGCCTCGCGGGTATGCTCTAGTCGACCTCCCCTTCTGTTTGAGTTGACTCATACTGCGAAAAACATGATTTTTCTACATTTCTAACTTAATTTCCACACAAATTTTCTTCTTAAAAACACCATAAATGACCACAAATCACCAGGCTTATCAATTTTAGCAACAACCTATCATTCTAACATGAGAGTACTCATTCTATTCCATTCAACACATCAAATCTCATCAATTTCATAGATTTCTACACAAACCCTAACATA